ATATAAACGTGAATACTGACCAATACCATCTAAACATAATGATATTGTCCTTCTTTTGCAATCAACTTCTTGGATAAATTTCCTTGGTCCCTTTCAAGAGATTAGGAATATATTTAATTGGTAGAAATTAGATGGATAAGTAGATAGACAAGCAGGTATTTCCTGTGACATTGTATCACCTTCCTCAATGGAGTCTAAATTCATATAGAGAAATAAGTTTAAGTAGATGATGAAAAGAATGATTGTGTGTTAAGACTATTGGAAAACACACAACATTTTAGGTTGAATATCAGAATTTCTGATGATTATTACTAAAATTTATCATCATAGGCAATAATGTCGAATCCTAAGAGGTGTCCACATACACAGTGGTAATGCTTTTGCCTGCTCCCCCACCTTCACTGCCACCCCCAGGGGTTGGAACAACGGGATTTTGAAACAATAAGTAAGGTGTGTGTGGACATTATGACTGAAGCATGCAGCCCTCTTAAAATGTTGTGGTGAGCACACAATCAAAATGTGTTTATCACAAGAGTGCAACACTTAACCAGTACCGCAGCTGAGTTCTGCAACCCTGGTGAGCACCCCAACCAAGTGTGTATGTGACTGTGCATCATTGCAGAAACAGCTGCCAAAAAAACGAAAGGGGGAGGAAAGAGGCATCACTTTGTGCCAGGAAGGCTGCCCATAGGGGGCTCAGGTAGTAAAGATGGTAAGACACTTGGCTTGTAAGCAGCTGGTCCTGGCTTAATCCCCAGCACACATGCCGTTTCCTGAATGCCACCAGGAGTGATCCCTGAACAAAAAGTCAGGAGTAGCCCTGATAAATGCTGGGTGTGTGCCATACCGAATCCCACCAACCTCCCGAAACAAATCAAGTCAAAGAAAATGTTCAGAGAAATTACTTCACTCTCTTTATTTGTTTTATTTTCTGCTTATAAAGTAAAAATAACTTTTAATACTCAAAGAGTCTTCTAAGTGTTTGAGATAACAAACATAAAGGATCAAACAAGTAATTGCTTTTTGATAAACAGATAATAAATCCCACCACCCAACTACTAATGATAATAGTGCTGTCAACCATACTTCATTATACTACCCAGATCTTTGCAACATGAATTACACAAGCAACACAGATAAGCTTGATAGCAAAATATCCCTTTATAGGAAACCAATCAGAAAATAAGTCACACACCTTAGAGTAAACTGTAGCACTGCACTGTAGCACTGTCCTCCTGTTGTTCATTGATTTGCTCGAGTGGGCAGCAGTAACGTCTCACTACAAACTGTGAGACTTGTTGTTACTGTTTTTGGCTTATTTGTCATGGTAGCTTTGCCGCGTGAGTGAGATACTCTTGGTAGCTTGCCAGGCTCTCTGAGAGGGGTGAAGGAATCAAACCCGGGTCAACTGCGTGCAAGGCAAACGCCTTATCCACTGTGCTATTGCTTCAGCCTCGAGTAAACTGTTACACTTACTAAATTCCAAAGCTAGGCTGACTATCATTACACTTATTTTTTTTTACATAATACATAATTTAGCACTGAGAAGATTAATGGTCAGAAGTTAATTAATTAATGGTTAGAAGTTCCCATGCACAAAAACCAATGCCTGGTCTCTGGAACTACATGGTCCCCTCCCAGAACCACGGGTATAGTCCTGGACACCTGCAAAAACTTCTGAATGTGACTCTGGTGGTTCCCAAGCACCACTGGACCTGAGCAACCAACCCATGTTTTCACCTTAAAACCTGAGTACTTCAGAGCCTCTATTTTCCTTTCTCAACCCTAACATACCATAAAACAAAACAAAGCAAAACAAAATGACATAACTTGACAAGTGTCCCACCATGGAAAAGAGACAGGTCTCTGCTTTTGTTTTAATTCAAGAATTTGGGAAGATTTTGTGTATATATTTGGACAGAGTAAGCGCAGTGATATTGCTAATACACCGGTATTTCATTTTAGGAAATCAGATCACAACTGAGGACAGGGTAAGACGTCGAAGCTGCCTATTTTAATTTCAGTTGAAAACAAAGTCTGGATATTTTGTCTTGAAGAAAGCAATTTAAGAACAAGTGGTGTTTAGTGGGGATAATAATAGTGGTATTTTAACATTAGATTTAATACGCTAGAGCTGCTTTGACTATCCATTAAGTTTTAAGTGGTTGGAAACTTATCTTAGAAAATCATAATGGGTTTGACCTGTGACTCTATGCCTAAGGCATTGTTTATGTATAACAATTATGACTTACCAGCCAAGTCAAGATTCTTGTGGAATTCACTATTTCTTAAAATGTAGAAGCCTAGATGATATAAGATCATGTTGATTTTTAAAATGACACAGTCCATAGACACGGTCCTCCCGTGAGGATCGTTGTTCATCGATTTGCTTGAGCGGGCCCAGTAATGTCTCCATCATGAGACTTGTTGTTACTGTGTTTGGCATATCGACTACGTCATGGGTAGCTTGCCAGGCTCTGCATCGCGGGTGAGATACTCTCAGTAGCTTGCCAGGCTCTCCGAGAGGGGTGGAGGAATCGAACTTGGTAGGTCATCTTGGCCACTTTTAAAGCGAACCCCCTACCGCTGTGCTATTGCTAATTTATCATTTAATATTTTTTAAATCTTAATTAAAAAAATTTAATTTTCAGGACCAGAGTAATAGTACAATAGGTAAGGCATTTGCCTTGCATGCAGCTGACTTGAGTTCAATCCCGGGCATCCCATATGGTCCCCCAAGTACTGCCAAGAATAATTCCTCAGTGCAGAGCTAGGAGTAACCCCTGGGCATTGCTGAGTGTGACTCAAAAAGCAAAATAAAAAAAAGTTTCAAATAAATCTTCATATAGCCAGACTCAGAGAGAAAGAAATTCCTTTAGGGAAATATATTTCCTGGGATCTAATTTCTACTTCTGACATCACCAATTTCAAAGTGTGACAAATTCATGCTTCTGTCCACTTGAATCGACATATCTGCAATACATTAAACTAAATACACGGCAGCAAAATTCTCACTGCGGTATCTCTTTTTCAAATAAAAACCACTGACAACTTTGCAAACATCTGATCATATAAACTTAGTGAAAAGGCAAAGGAGTTCAGTTACATATGTGACATAAACATATCACAGAATATTAGTCTCTCAGGATTTGCAAAAGCAAGTTCTGCATTGGCCCCATACATAAATAAACAGTGGGTAGTAGAAAGGGTGCTTTTTTTAATTATTATTTTTTTTTTGGTAGCACCAGGGACCAAATTCAGCACAGCGGGTAGGGCGTTCGCCTTACACGCGGCCAACATGGCCAACCCGAGTTCGATTCCTCCGCCCCTCTCGGAGAGCCCGGCAAGCTACAGAGAGTATTCGATATGCCAGACACAGTAACAACAAAGTCTCCAATGGAGATGTTACTGGGCCCGCTCGAGCAAATCGACAATCAACGGGAGGGCCTTTATATATGTGAAGCTTATGTTCTACCATTGAGCAATATCCCCCAGCCAAAACATATGTCATTGAAATGAAAAATAAAATTTCTAGGAGAGTTTAGGGGTTAGAATACATGGCCAGCATGAGACCTACCCTAGCTTGTCCCCTAGCTTTCTGGGTATTGATGAAGGCACAAAAGCTTGTGGAAACCACTGAGGTGGCCATGGTGGTTCCCAGCACAGCAGAACCTGAGAAGTTCTTGGCTCTCTAGTATTGAAGAGAAGGCTGAGTGGCGAGGAATCACTAACATTGGCCCTCGCCCCCTTAGCAGACTTCAGGAGTTCCTCTTCCCCCAAACAACACCAAAATAGAATTGAGCCCATTGCAAAGCTTTCAAAAGTAGGTGGAGACAAATAAAAATAGTTTTAATTTCTCCACCTCTTGAGCTAGAGAAGCGTAGGAAACTTCTCTTGTTTCAACATACACAGACTAAAGATTAGACTCAGAAATACTGTACACCACATTAGTATTTTACAGGGAATTTTAATATACAAAGTGCTGGAACGTACATACTCTTTCTGGGGTAATGCTTAACTAAAATAACAAATGATATTTTGTTATGGCAACAATAACCAGCATGCCATTACATCCTAATCATAGAAAATGGACCACAATGAAAATTTTTACTGTCTTAAATTTATTTTTCAAAATTCTAGAATTTATTTGAAGAGAAGATTGGTATTAATTTGCTACAACATAGTATTATCTTTCGACATTATCACTTATAACTAATATTATACAACTTATTTCCATTTCCTTAATAAGAAATCAAGACCATAAGGAAACAAAAATCTTAAAATGTCATTTTATTCAAAATTCCCTCCAATGTTTAAACTTTTTTAAATTTTGTTTTGGGTCCACACCTGGCTTTGCTCAGTGTTCAGGGATCAATCCTGATGGGACCACATGTGCCAGGATCGAAACTAGGTTGGCTGCACACAAAGGAAGCATCTTACCTACTGACCTACTGTATTGTCTCTCTGACCCCTCAGTGCTTAAACATTTTTAAGGAAGTTGAGTATAAAGACTTAATTCCCACCTTTCCTGACCCTCTGTTGTGTAGAGCACTTTTTTGTTATTGTCACCAATCAAGAACTTGTAGAGCAACTGAACTGGAAATATATACAGAGTATATGTTCCTAAGAAAGCATTTGCTTCCCTTCATGCAATTAAGAAAAGCTAAAATAAACAGTTCTAGACATTAAATAATTAGATTGAATAATTTTATTAGAAAAACAGAGAAAAATATCTGGATAAAAAAATCAAAGACAGATTCTGTGACATCGTTTCAGGGAAAGATCACATCGTAGTTTAGGGGATGAATGTTACATTCTCTTGAGATTCCTGAGTGATGTCCAGCAAAGCCTACTTTCCAGATTTACAGGACAGGAGAAAGCCAGTCTTCAGAAAATTCGTATTTGAAGTCAGTGATATAACATCATCATCCAGGCTGGAGACTCGTACATATGGGGTGCAGAATTGATGAGCTCTGGAGTTCAAAGGTAGTGAGTAAAAATCAATAGTAGCCAAAGCCAGAACCGCATCCATAGCCATAACCACAGCCATAGCCACAGCCCAGACCACGGTAGCCAGAGCCATAGCAGGAGCCATAGCCACAGCCCAGGCCACCATATCCATAGCCCAGGCCTCCATAGCCACAGCATCCATAGCCACGGCCACCATAGCCATAGCCTAGGCCTCCATAACCACAGCATCCATAGCCACGGCCTCCATAGCCATAGCCCAGGCCACCATAGCCACAGCATCCATAGCCACGGCCTCCGTAGTAGTTTCCGTAGTAGCCACACATGGTGCTGGTTGTTGAGTTTGTCTTTGGGTAGAGGAGGAGAGTGAGTGACTTGGGTCTGCCCAGTGACCCTGCACAAGGCCTTTTATATGCTCTCCATGTGGGAGGGGCTTACCATAGCTGTCATGCCATTGGGTGATTTTATGACTAATCACATTAGTTTGTAATTACTCAGTCGTAAAGTCTCAGAGATTCAGCAGGAATATCATGCTGTGCTTGGTCTCAACTTCTAACTCCTTCTTATCCAATTGCAGGCTTCCTTGACAGAGTACATTCATCCCTCTGCATCCCTACCTCCAAATAAGACTTTCATTTTAACCTCTTATTCCTATCCTTTTTCCCAAGACAGAATGTGTTTGTAAGGACGAAATTTATTTGCTCGTGATTATAATTTCGCTCATTTAATAGCACTGTAGCACTGTCCTCTTGTTGTTCATCGATTTGCTCGAGCAGGCACCAGTAACGTGTCCATTGTGAGACTTGTTACTGTTTTTGGAATATCAAATACGTCATGGGTAGCTTGCCAGGCTTGGCCGTGCGGGCAAGATACTCTTGGTAGCTCACCAGGCTCTCCAAAGGGGGCAGAGGAATCGAACCCTGGACAGCTCTGTGCCAGGCAAACGCCCTAATGGCTGTGCTATTACTCCATTTAATATTTCACAAAAATAACACTCCTTTAACTCATGGAAATTTTTCCTCTCTTGATCCAAATTAAAGATACTCAAGGATTTAGTTGCTTTTCTACACTGAAATCATAATCTATCTTTCCACCCTTTGATGGTGATTATTATTCAAATAGTTTTTCTGAAAGAAAACAGACATGTCCAAGACAAAAACTGTATCTTTCTATGTATACCATTGAGTGCCATTCTCATTTGTATTCAGCTTTTCTAGAAACGACTTTGAAATGGAAGCTGTAATTTTAATATAACTTCTCTGATTTTTAATCTCTGAATTGAGTTTATAATAAATTAATGCACTATAAAATTACACAAAAAGAGCTAATTGATATTAGAATTTAAGTCACTAACTTTCAGTAATCTTCAATATATTAGTCAGAGGTATGTTTCTTTATTTATATATTCAATCATTATTGTCTTTGTATTGAGACACACTGTGTTCTTTTACATAATCCCAGCAACATTATTTCCTTTAATTAAATGAGTGTGATAATGCAATGTGTATGGAGGCACTGGAAAAGTAAAAGCAGTTTTAGTTTATAATTAAAAACATTGTTATGTCTTCAAAAGAATGAATGTAGGGAAAAATTATTATTTCCATACATATGTCTTGGACTGGAGTGATAGCACAGCGGTAGGGCATTTGCCTTGCAAGCAGCCAACATGGCCGACCAGAGTTTGATTCCTCTGCCCCTCTTGAAGAGCCCGGCAAGCTACCGAGAGTATCTCACCTGCATGGCAAAGTCTGGCAAGCTACCTATGACGTATTCGATATGCCAAACACAGTAACAATTGTCACGATGGAGACGTTATTGGGCCCACTCGAGCAAATTGATGAACAACTGGAGGACAGTGATAGTGACATGTGTCTTATGTATTGGTAGATTTCAATTAGTCTGATGATGATTCTGCTTCAAAATATTATTTTATTTTTCTCCTAACCTTAGCTCAAAACAGAGTACAACTTGTTAAACCCTTTCACAACAATCAAGACTCTTTTAGGTTATACATTTTCTAATCCATCCATGTAATAAGCATACAAATTACTGTAAATATGCCTTCATAAAATACAATTCTTTAATTTGAGTCAGTCAAATGAACTTATTCACGAATATCTGTTTTTGAATATTCTTTCCGTATGTGTGTTTTGATAGGTTCCCTGTATAAAAATAAACACATTATTGTGACAATTTGTTCACCATTTGCTCAATTTAGATTCTAGAATTAGAGAATATCTCTGCGTATTATTTTTCTAATTTACCATACAGAAAATTGCAGTAGCTTCAGCTATCACTGTGCAGTCAATCAAGTAATAAGTTAGAATAAGTTTTCAGCAAAAGCTAATTTAAATAATTTGATGATCAGTCTTTCTCTAAGCTATCTAAATTCTTGAACATCACCTGAAATTGGTCTGACTAAATTGCATTAGTCAATTAAAAATACTATAATTAACTTGGGTTTTTTGGTATCTTATTAATGTAGCTATAAGAGACATTATTATTTCATGTATGCCTTATCTCTAATAACAGCATTTGTTATTTCTCCACAGACTACTTATTCTCTGTAGCATTTACTTCTTAGAGTTAATTTGTTTCCTCTGTGAAACTGAGTTCTCTCCAATCATAACAATGAAAGCGTCACATCCAAAGATAGTCCTTAAATTTTTTCTGTTGTGATTATACAATCTATGTTCACTCCATAATAAGTACTTGCACACACTCCATAATCAGAAAGCAGAACTTTATAAGTCTTCCTCTCCTTTCTTTGGTCCTTGGTTCCATCACATTAAGAAAAAGACTCTTGTTGAGATCACCAATATTTCAATATTGATACAGGAGAGATCCTTCCTCCATCCTATGAGGAAGGCTCTGAGTATATTCACATTCACCAACTTCTCTTCCCATACATTTTTCTCTTTCCTACCACACAATTGGAATAGTTGTAATATCACTACCTGCTGTTTTTAAAATTATTTGGTGATTTGCAATTTCCTTCTTTTTCCTCTTTTTCAGATTTTGAAAGTGAGGGTGCCCAATCATGTGCTTGCCCCTCTAATACTTTGTTTAAACTTTATAGGTTAATTCCTTTGAATTCATTCTTTTAATTGATTAATTTTAACTCACATTTACACCTATTTTCGTATTTCTCTCTCTCTTTCTCTCCCTCTTTCTCTTTCTATAAATTTGATATTGTCATAGGTTGGTAATGGTCATCAAAACTTAATAACATGGAACTACTTTTATTGTTCTTTATACTCAGAGTCTAGCTCCTTTCTTCCTTATGTCTTATCATGCAAGAATGCAAGACTTAAGTCATATTAGAACCCTCCCTGTAGTGAATTCTTTAATATCTTTTCTCATTAGATTACTACATTATATTGAATATACAGTTAAATTTTGTGTCTAGATTATTGAAATTTAAAATACAAATTTCACAGATATTGCATGAGATATGCTTATGCAAACAATTGCTTATTTGAAGATCACATTTATCTGGTTTCTGCATACCTTAATTTGCCATCAATAACAACACAAAGCTTTGGAGCACATCATCCAGGGTATGCCCTGATCCTACCTTCACTATTCCCTTTAAGTGCCCAACACTCACCAGTTTACAGTAAGCAGAAAGTAATGGCCTTTCTGGTTTTCATGTATATTATATTGTTTTCAACTCAAAGCTTCTTTTTTGGCATGAATGACTAGCATCTTTTCTCTTGACTTCTCTCAGAATTATTTGAACTATGCAACTTAAAATAATCTCTTATCAGTACTCTTATCTTACCTAGATTAATCATACAAATGGACAATTATTCTCAGAAATGATCATATTCACATTTTAGTACTTATTTTTGAATATTTGTCCCTTTTAATTGTCCTTATTTTAGGGCATTGTTTCCCAAACTTTTTTCCTACCTCTCTTCTTCCAGAATAAAGCGAGTCAATGCCTTCTGGGATATACACTATCTTTAAGCAAACAAAGAGAATGTACTTCCCAATTACATCTGAGGCTAGTACCATCACTCCTATCCTATCCCCACTTTTTCCTAGTGTGTGTGGGTAGCAGGGCAAGAAAACCCAGTTTGGAAAACACTGCTAAAAATGGAAGATAAGAATCCACATGATAATAGAGTCTATCATATCCACTGTTCTATCTTCAGCATTCAAAACTGGCTTGGGATATGACTCAAGTCATAGAGAATGAATCTTGCCGGTGCAAGATCCTAGACTATATCCTTGGGTTCTCTTCTGGTCATCATGTCACCTTGGTGACCTTCAAGGTCAGCAGACTGAGCACCTAGAAATGTAGCTCCCATACCTAAATTAAAAGGACCAACCTAATACCGCCTAGCACACACTTGATTCTTAAATGTCTGATATGTGATATAATAAACAACCACATCAAAATCATGAGGGGGCATTTTAATATTCTTCATTCCGATTTTGGTTATTTTGGTTTTCAGGCCACACTCAGTTATGTGCAGAGCTTATTCCTGGCCCGTGGTTAACTTAGGGTTTTTCTTTGTTTATTTGTTTCTTTTGTATTTGATATTTTATTACTGTAGCTATGAGAGACATTATTATTTCTTGTATGCAATGTCTCTAACAACAACATTTGTCATTTCTCCTCAGACTACATATTCTCTGCAGAACTTGCTTCTTAGAGTTAATTTGTTAACTTGACATCACTCCTGGAGGGCTCAGGGAATTGTGTATGGTGGTAGGGATCCCACTTGGCTGAGTGCAAGGAAAGTGACGTCCCTGCTGTACTATCAAATTGGCCCCCACTCCCATTTTTAAAATTTGAAATAATTTAGTGACAGAGTGTAACTGTGTGCAAAACACACAAAAAGATACAACACACACACACAAAATCTCTATAACCCTTCACCCAGTCATATTTAAATAGTGCTTTTAATAACCAAGAGCAATATTTCAAATCAAGAAACTAAACTTGTACACTATTTCAGGTTGATCTTTGCCCTTTTGTCATTTCACCATTTTTTTATGTCCTTTGTATGTTCAGGATCCAATTCAATATCCACATGGCTATTGTTTGTCTTATATCTTCAGTCTTCTCCAGTTACTGATTGTTCCTCAGTATTTCCTTAATTTTTTTAATCACATTGACAGTTTAAATGAGATAAGTGCTTTTTCTTTCAATTTTTGTTATTGTTTCATAACTAATTTAGGCTACAGATATTGAATAAAAACACCAAAAGAGATGTCACTATTTTGTTGTAACTAATTATAGTAAATTCAAAATGTGAGCATAACTTTGAAAAATTTTGGTATGTATTTTAAGCTTGTTAGCATAGAATAAATTTAAATTTAAATTCAAATTTCTATGTAACCTCAGTACATGTTTTTAAATTTCTGGGCTCTACCATGGCTTTTGGTCACATGAAAAATAATAGACACATATATGTGTGACATGTGTGATGAATTGG